TATATCACATTTATATAGCCACTCATCTCACACAAAGCAACTCTAGTATTTATGTAAAGTTTTATTGAGTAGTCTTTGGGTCAAACAGAATTGATGACTGGCATTGTAATATTTCATTTTCAGTGAAAAATCTATTTCTATCCTGGAATGTTCCTGAACTATGATTCCCATAATTAGCAACCAAGATACCAATGGATAGAAATATCAGCTATTATAGACACCAAGCAACAAATACCAAGCAGTCCCCCAATCGTGCATCAAATTTCAACATACAATTGTCAAAAATTACTGTACGTTTTCTTGCCATGCTGAAGGCTGAAAACACATGAAATATAAAAACACCTAAGCACGGTTCCTCCCTAGCATTATTTATACTGACGCTCCACCCACTGAAGCCCTCAGCTTCCTCTCAGAAGCCTTAGCCAGTGTATAACCCAAACACCATAATGTTGCCCACCCAAGTTACAACTGCTTGCCACAATATGTTTACTTTTTTGGAAATATATTGTATTGCAGAATATAAAACAATGACAAATCACTTTCATGTTGTTGCCAAGAAAACTACATGAATATGGCCTTGAAACCCCTAGGAATTGAGCTTGATTCAAAGGAGACTTTACTTTTTATTCTATAAACTAAAGCTTTTAATTAATCTTACTTATTTGTATATGTAAGTTCATATTTTCATCCCAACACTATATGGGAGCAAACTAAATTACGCTTATAAAAATAAATATATAAGCATCAAGATATGCACTCATTCATACTTCTGCAAACATAAGCACTTATATTTCCAGTTAAAAAAAGATTTGAGAAAGACTCTGCTCAAGATCTTAAGGAGCCCCTGGCAATCAAGGTGTACTGTACAAAGCTATATATACTTTAGGGAACACTATCACAGGTATAAATGGGTCATCCCATACTTCACAGCCAACACTGCCAACAGCTAACATAGCTTCATATACACATACATAATTATCTTAGGGAAAAGTCCAATCTCATCTTCTCTTTTATATTGCAATTAATTCATTGCTTACTCTATTTATTAAAACAGAACATCTGGCTACTTGCTTATATTGTAACTTCTATTGTTCCAATGACCAAAGCTATAATTTAACTGTGGATTGTGTACATAAGCAAATTTGTTAATTTTTAACTTCATGTTTAGTTTCCATAACTTTATTAACTAATTGCAATTTTAAATACAGAAGCCAAATAATGTTACCTTAACAGGATACTATTTTACAGCATTTGGAGAACTAAGAATCCAACTATATCATGAATGAAACAGCTAATCTATCACCACAACGCATGCCAAATTGCACAATATCCCACACAAAGTATGAATTAACAAAGTATTATATTTCATACTAACAAAGTATGAAATATAAATCTATACATAATTCTCTTAAAAGTTACATGTTAAGAACACTCAGATATTCTTACATCGAGAAGATATGTACTTTCACTTTTATTCACACATTATAGTTTACATCAATCAGATGGCCTAAAGAGGTCTTTAATTAAAACTCTCATTAAATCTATCAAACATGGGTAATAATCAGGGTTTGTAGGAGCTGCAGTACAAACAAACTGAAAAATACTTCTCACTTCTCAGCACTAACGCTCACTATGTTAGAAATGCTTTTCAGTTTAATGTATTACACTGCGATCAAAAACAAACTAGAGAGTAAATATTATTAAACACAAGCACTGTTTCTCACAATAAAACATATACATTTCCCTATCAGTAATATCTGGGCAGTTCAAAAAGATATTATTTTAAAACCTTAATATCGTCTCTTATTTATATGGACATACATACACGCATCCACGTACATATACCAAAACACAAAAACTAAGCTAACTATAATAACTTACACCTACAAAAACAAGGCTTTCTCAACCATAAAGGACAATTTCATTATCCTGGAAGCAAATACAGGTCTAAATTAGATACTACCAAATTCCACTAAAAGTAATGAAGGCTTTCAGTTCAATTCTAAACCATGTTTGCTTATAGGTGAGTCTCTCCAAATTTTACAAGACTCACTCTCTAGTTACTCACTAACATGAGACTGCAGTTAACAGAGAATGTTGCTTGATTTTAACCCTTTATCTTACATATTAACAAATCACTTGTTTCATCAGTTCATAATAAATATGAAA